CGACACGTTTCAAAAAAGGATCCTGTTTATTTGTTTCTTTAAAGTAACTTCGACGTCTGTCTTCATTCATCTAGAGCTTCTGTGCGAGCCACGACTCGCCTGGAACTCGTTTGTTCATTTTCTCTGCTTTTCCTTTTTCGAACCGAGTAACGAATAATGGCAAAATGTTTGCCTTCGTTCGAAACGCTGTTTCCCCCGCGGTTTGCCGGTGAATTTGAATCACCTGCCACGAATTTTACGAACTGACGTAACGAGTTCTATTTTAATATCACATTCATGTTCCACTCGTATGTAATTACCTAACGAACTTATGATAATTCAATTATTTTCGTGACCTGTCATTTAACATTTTTCATTTCCATGAAAAATTCTATCGATATATTTTTATGTGTAGGAATTTTCGTGTTCGTATTTATTTCCAAAATTTTTATATACGTGTAATAATTTCCACCAACAGTTATATAATAACCCAATTTATCACAAGCAAGGCGCAGTAATTTACATATTCCATTAAGGGGGTCTTCTCCTATCTAAGGTTAACAAAATCGATTTTAAAAAATTTTTTTCTTAAAGTGCATGTCATCAAGAATAATCTTTGTAAATATTAGACTCGAACTCTTACAAATAACTAAGTTATAGCTGTTGCAATGACTTGGTGGGCAGCGTCACTATAAAAATAAAACTTTAAAGGCGTATTTCTCGAAACTGTGCTTTTCAAAACGGTGTTCGTGATTTTTAAAAAACTGTTCGACAAATTAGCACGAAATTTTGCACAAATATTCAGTATATTTGTGGCTATGACCCCTAATAGAATTATTCAAAAATTCACATTCTTTCTATCGTTTTCATACACACACATTCAAAAGGAGAGTGCAAGAATTGTAAGATATTCGGAGTACCGCCATTTTGTTGATGCACCGATATTACCAGCAACGTCATGTACGCCGAAAAGAAATAAAATATGGAAAAAGCAAACATAAACAAACAATCACGTTGCATATTGTCTCGTTAAACGGAAAACGACGAAGGTGCACGAAAGTTCGTGAGAAGCACTTTTTATCAGCATGAAAAGCAACGAACGAGAGTAACTAATCTAAGTGTCACAGCGGCCTTATTAAAGCGAATAGCTGCTCGTGCTCTCACGAAGTTAAAAAAGCCCGAAGTTGTAGGACCTAAGCCGACCGATTTAATAACGAATCCCACACTTTCCCTTGCACCGTGTTACGTAAAATGTCTCCACGCTGGTTAATTGCTTGTCTGTGCCCCGTCGCAAAAGTTTCAGGTGCTTCCCAATCACTTTATCCAGCGCTCGCGAGAATAACTTTTCTCTGATACTAATTGCACGGGGCACGGGGCCTGACAGCCGTACACGGCTGCCAATAAATTGATGCTCTCCGGTGCCGAATAATTTAATTTGTTAGCTCGTTAGCGTTCACCGTCATTCGTACAGCGAATATTGCTCAATTAGATTAAACTTGCTTGTCGAGAGATAAGGGAGGGGCGCAGAGGGATACTTTAATGGAGTAAGATACCTGGCGTGTCTAATGAAAACACGCTCATCCTCATGAACTTCTGGTACACGCATGAAGCGTGGTGAGGAATATTTGCTAATTTGTAGTCTTCTTAACGTTGTTACGCTAAGTGACTAGGGAAATAGTCAACGACCCAGAGCTTTTGATGGAAAACAGGATGGAGGATTTTTATCACGACACTGCGGATTTGGAGCAGAGGCAGTGCTGTTACTGACTCGTGTCAGTAGTAGCTAAATTTTGTTCAACTCTATATTAACTCTTTGCACTCCGAATTATTTTTCAATTTTGTTACCAATAATTCCCTATTATTTTTAGTGTTTTCTTTGAAATTTACTTCATAGGATATTACAGAATTTTGTTTTCTGATTATATTAAATATAGCTCTCAAACATTGTTGTAACTTATATTTTGAATTTAAGTAATTCAAGTTGTTTCAATTTTGTTCCCAATAATTCCCTATTATTTTTGGTATTTTCTTTGAAATCTACTTCATAGGACAGTTCTTCTACTGCTACTTATTTTGAAGAATTTTGTTTTCTAGTTATACTAAATATAGCTCTCAAACATTGTTGTAATTTATATTTTGAATTTAAGTAATTCAAGTAGTTTCAATATTGTTTCCAATAACTCCCTACTATTTTTGGTAGTTTGTTTAAAATTTACTTCATAGTGTTGAACCCATGGCCTCCATAAGCGTAAGTACAGCCCTGCTATTGGTAGGTATAGGCAATAAACGCTAAGTTGTAAATTGGAGAAAGCTGCCGATTAACTTTCGATTTAACGAATTTTAAATTGTTGACTCTGTTAGTATAAGTTACTACTAATTTCCTGCCATTAGACTATTACTAGTAATGCCTGGTGCATTTATGAAATCTCAGGACTGGGTTAACAGAAAGTTGAACTCTCGAAGAAAAATTTGATTTCACTGTAGGCTACAGCATAATCATTTTTCAAATTTAAAATGCACGTGTAATTAACCTTCTGTTTATTTGCACTATAATTTTCACTGTATCTTGTGTATTAGCCATAGAAAAATTTTTGTGTTTTTCGTTTTATATTCTACAACAATACCTACATATTTTAGATTGGTCTGTACACAGGGTGTCTCATTTACGTTGACGCGATAACAAATTTTATAGACAACTAATTTGAAGAAGATAGAGTTTTATGTTTCTTTGAGTATTTTAAGCAGTAATTCAAATAACACTGTTACCTTAAAAATAAATAAAGTTAGCAAAATAAATAAGAAACACAATAAACTTTTGTCATATATATAATGACACCTTTATCGTGATATTATATTTACACGAATTCCTCACAATTTAAAATTCCAAAAGAGATAATAATTTTTATAATTTTAATGTGATATAATATTTATTATTATGATATAACAATATGATTTAATATTTTTATGATTTAATATTCTCAATGATTCCGCAGGTTTATCTCATTATTCCTAGTGTTCTGATATTTGCCAATAGAGATGTGCCTGTTTGTACTCAAAATACCAAACAACTCAATTAAACAACCCTCCATTATCCATTGTCATACATGTGATATTCAGTATGTTGACGAAGTTCTAGGTCTAGAACTAGAAAAGCCTAACTCTCTAGAAAATAGCATTATTCTTCTCCAGTTCTCTACAGATAGTCTACATATAGTCTGTTAGCAATAACTCAACGTCACCTTGATACCTCATAAAAATAAACAAACAGGCGTTTCAAAACGTTTTCAGAAAATTTACCTAAATGTAATTTTATTTAGAAAATTGCTGAAATATAATTTTATATACAAACGAGGAAAGATATTTAGAAAGAGAATGGTGTAGGAAGAATCTGGAAGAGAATGGAAAGCATTTGGACTTGGGTGATGACAGAGGTTAGCTGAGCAAGGGATAAGGAATGAGTCAATCGTGTAACTGTCGACTATGTGCTGGTGTTTACAAAAGATGTCGATATAATTTGACATTCAATACATCTTACATTGGTATTAATGCAACCAGACTTCCATTGAATGTGCTACTTTGAATGAGACTTCAACTTCAACGAAGAGTATAAGGTTAAGTGATGAATAGGACGAAGAGTTAAGATCTGTAATAATTTTCTTTGCACGAAGCACGGTAAGAATAGTTGTAAAAGAAAGAGCTACAGTGTTCATATCCATGACAGTACGGTATTACGATATTACGTTGAAGAAGGAGCTGTGTGCACGCGATTACGCTGATGAAGTTCAGCATAAACCAAGTTTAGACATGGTGCTAATTAGTTGCAGCCACCGTTGCTTGAAAATTTGAATATGTAGTATTCTATACTCAAGCTTCGTAGACTGCGCACATTTCAGCGCATGAATCCATTCTAAATTCACGATATACGATATTATATAGTATATTTTACGTTTCACGTTTTTATTACGATTTTTTTATTCAAGTTTATGGAATATACTATTTTTAACTATATTTCATTCATATTAAAATAAACTGCAAAATTTATGTAGAAAAATTCGAGATGTCCTGTGCAGAAAATTATTAATATATTATAAATTAACGCTTAATATAATTAATTAGTTAATTAACTATAACGTTTTAAAAAAGCTTTCATGAAATTAACGGTATATAATATTTTAGACTTATTTTTGTTTATGAAATATGTTAAAAAATTTGCAAAATAAATATTAGACACTATATACATAAAATTATGAATATTAATTTTATACAGTTAACACTCAATATCAGTTAACTAGTTAAGTAATTAGTGCAACCTAATGATAATAACCAGTTATGTGATTGACACCATCTAATAACAATCGACTAGATATATGATCAATAATTAACTACTTATCAATTTCCTAATCTCCTAATACCAAAAAATTATTAATATATTATAAATTAACCCTTAATATAATTAATCAGCTAATTAACTATAACGTTTCAGAAAAGCTTTCATGAACTTAGCGGTACATAATATAGTAGCCTTATTTTTATTTGTAAAATATATTAAAAAATTTGCATAAAGGAATATTAGACACCATATACATCAAATTACGAATATTAATTTTATACAGTTAACACTCAATAGCAATTAACTAGTTAAGTAATTAGTGCTACCTAATGATAATAACCAGTTATGTGATAGACACCGTCTAATAACAATCGACTAGATAAATGATTAATAATTAACTACTTATCAATTTCCTAATTTCCTAATACCAAATTTCTTCGCTCAAATTAACAATACACCTAAAACTAATTCACCATCTCGAACAACTCACAACTTCATCCAGCAGAAGAATTAAATATACCAGAAGCAAACAGCATGCTTTAAATGTCAGTGAATCGATAACCAGGCCTGTACATTTCAATTAGCGAGGTACAGGTTCCTCAGTGTACTCCGTAAACGCGAGGCATTCGTAGATTAGATCGTGATCGATAACGATGAACACCTTCAAACGACGATGTAAACGATTTTTCAGGGAACCCAGATGCAAGAAGTGAGACAAGAGGGTCAAGCGAGGAGTTATCAGCCGCCTGAATCTTACGCGTAAATATCACCTTCATAGCACCGCACGGTGAATCCGACAATTGATTTTCCCGATAAAATCGCAATTTCTCCGAAGGTCGACGTCAGCTGCATCAGCGCCAAGGACGACGAAGATCGATGAAGAGAAGAGCAAGTCCATATCGAGGACTTATCACACGATTAAGGATATGATATCGAGCCGTTTCGGTCAGAGCCGCAAGGACGCTGAACCGGAACCGGAGGCCAGCTTGAACAACGTCACGGAAGAGCTGAGGAAGTCCAGCAGGAGCATCGATGACGAGGAGGCCAAGAAGAAGGAGGGAATTTATGGGAAACCAAGAGCACAGGAACCACCAGTTAATATGCAGCAGTATCCGAAAAATGCTTGCGGTGAGTGCTTTATAATGGACTTTCTTCATCTTTAGGAGATCTTGCTGTATCCTGCAATTTCTTCATCTTCAAAACACCTGTCTCCTCTAATTTGTGAACAATTTTTGAAAGATCTTGAGGTCCTCTGTGTGTAATTTATTTATCTTCAGAAAATCTTATCTTCTGTAATTTATTAATCTTTAGAAGACCTAACTGTTTTTTGTAATTTGTTAATTTTTGAAAAATCTTGAGGTCTTCTGTGTGTAATTTATTTGTCTTTAGGAAATCTTATCTTCTGTAATTTATTAATCTTTAGAAAACCTAGCAGTCTTTTGTAATTTGTTAATTTTTGAAAGATCTTTTTATCTTGTGATATTGCCCTGGAAAAATTGTTGCAACATGAATTGATATAGTTATAAAATATATAAACATAAATATAACATATATATATTTTCATATAATTATGTGTGTATATTTATATATGGGTATATTTTACTACTATATTATATAGATAAATATATATGTAATTATAATTAACAATATAGGGTGGACCATGAAATGTAAACAAAAATTAACCTATAAAGAATTCTAAACAAAATTAACAGAAGATTTACTATGATCATCTTAGAACTTTGTATCAACATCTTAACCTTGTATGACGTTATGTCACTTCGAAATTATATGCCTATATTCTTTGACTCTAGAATTTCTAATAAAGGGAGTTTCTCAAACTTACATGAAATAAAACTGTTTTTATTATATATACATAAATATTATACAATTCATAAAGTATATAATATAAAGTTCATTATGTACAGTGTGTTCAAAAATAATGAAACTTCATAAAAACTGTTATTCTTTAAATAAAAATAGGCAAGGAATAGTGTACCCTCAAAGAACCCTCTTTTTAATTAGTATGATAACAATCAAAATTTCTAAAGTTAGTTTTATTCCATTTCTCTATTATTATAGAACTGTATTCCATTCTAAAAGTAAACGATTATATTATAGCAATTATTATTTCCTAGATCTCAAATGAAATTAGAAAACTGTAATCTTCTGAGTACACAGAGTTAAAATTTCAATAATATCGCATATATTAGACACATATTAGATATTTAATAGGCCTACTAAGAACAAAATGATTTAAACTGATCATATTTCATGGTCCACCCTGTATGTTGTTTTATAAATACAGTATGTATCAGTGTAACTATATTTACTATAACTGTTAAATAATTTGGTGTATTTTTATGATAAATTTTAGGTATAATTATTTTCCAAAGAGATAGATGATAGAGATCAATGATCCTAATTTTGATCTGAGCAAATCAACAAATGATCTTAACAAAGATTATGTTAACATTTTTGTAATATAAAACGTGGTTTTAAAATTGGTTGAACTAGGTCATTTAGTTGGATGGAAACCAACCGAGCATTCGGTTGGAAATTCGGGATCCTTTACCTGCAGCTAATAGGGTTGTCGAAGGCTCCTTTAGTGTACTGAAGTCGGTCTGCGACGTCATACTTTTTATTCATTTTTTGGTTGTCCCTACATTTTAAGCCTGGCTTCGTTCTAAGAGCTTTAGTCCAAGTTATGATCTTTCTTTGCTAAATTAGTATTGAGTTGTCTCGATATGAATTTCATTTTTCAGTAGCTCGATACTTAAAGATTGTGATGAGATTGTGTAAAAACTGTGATAAGATTGTGATTAATTTTCTTATGCAAATGTCGTGTTACGTTATGTCAACTATATTGTTAAAATAAAAATAAAAAATAAGAATGCATAAATAAATAAAGGAAACAAATCTATGCAATCTTGGATATCTTGGCTAAAATCTATAATTTATCTGCTGACCATCTAATAGATCTTCATTTACTTGATAAGCTATTCTTGTTAAATTCATATTTCTTTTTCTCCAAGCTGAAAATTTCTTACAAAAAGTCTTCCAATCTCAGACAATTTCAATGTAATATAGATATTTCAACTTCACGTCGAGGGGGTGTTGCAGTTCGATGTTCTATTTCTAAAGGTCATTATCGAAGGGATCAAGTGAAACATGACACGAATAAAATTCTTTGATGGAAAAACGAAACGGAACAGGCGAGATTTATAGCATTACAAAGCAGTTAATTTTCGGATTTTCGAATTTCAACATTTGATTCAAATATATTATAATGTCATCCGTTTATTCGAGAGACGGTAAAGCAAGCACTGTATAAGATTGAACGTGAATTATGCCTTCGTGCTCAGAATTTCCGATAACAGGGTCTGATCAAATATTCACGCTGAAGGAAAGAAATCGAATGTATTTGTATATTTTTATCCGGATCGACTTTCTTTTGAGATATTTCGAATTAGTCTTTTATTACATTTCTTCATTGTTGAGTTCACGAACACTATTATTTTCTATCTTATTATTTATTCTATCATTTTGTCTAATAATCGAGTGCTTTAATATTAAACGTTATAATATTCCCATAATATTTTATACTAATTTTTCATAAAAGTTTGTCGAAAAAATGTTTATTGGGCATTTATTGGGAAAAAATTGTACTGTAACTATTACTGCAAGTACAATCATTTTGCCTCCTTAATTTTCATAAAATAAAATTAATTTTAATTTGACTTTTTTAATAGTAACATGGGGTAAAAATAATAAAGATATTTTGTTGCAATAATTTAAATTAATATATAGATATAGTACAATTGTATTCGATTATCCAGAAATAAATTACTATTTTCATCATACTATTATAATATTAATTTAAATTACTTTAAATTTAAAAATAAAAAATTTTCTTCGTTGTTACTGTTATATTAATAGACTAAACTACTAGTTTCCAACTTCTTCTATCTCACAAATATTTTACAAAGAAACTAATTACTAAAATATTATAGTATACCGAAAAATATATTACATTTTTTCCTCATATGTCAAAAAGAAAGTAGATATAGTTGTTTGAGTCACAACAAACAGCTGTTATTACATTATATATTCTCATTTGTTTATTCGACAACTTAAGAAAAAAAGATAGTACTCTCGACTAAAACAATTTTCACGATACACTTCGAAATTATATTTTTATTTTAGAATCCAAGGAAAATGAAATCAGTACTCTTTAAAAATAATTAGGTATTATATTTATAAAAATTCTCATGGCATATCCAAACGTTATTACAATATACTAGTGTCTAGTGACAAATTAGTTGGATATCACTAGCCTAAATTAATAACTAAACGTAAAGAAGAATGAATAGTGATAGCCAAAGAAAAAATCAAAGAAAAAGATTCATAGGAGGTTCATCGTTCGACACGGTTCACGAAGCGAAGAAAAATAACATTTTCCATGAATGGCAATAAACTGTAACGCGTATGCAAAGCATATGTTAATTATCTAGGAAGTGGAGATGTTGGAACGGTTATAGCAAGTGCACACATGCAGGTTTATAATCTGGTCAGTTTACGTCTCACACTAGTTCCCTATTAATTACCAGGTAGATAAGAATTAATTGATGCTCAGTTGACCTTGAATGCGTGGAATTTTCATTTTTACTTCCTACTGATGAAAGTATTTCATTAGCACGTGGAAATTTATGAGAGCAAAATATTACATTTTAATATAGTGATATTATATCTCACAAAATTTTATCTTTTCGGGTTCTTGCCAGAAATAAATTACAATTTCTAATTTCTAGTGAAGTATTTATAGCTATCTATTCCTATATATTGCAAGATTTAGATTAATAATTTAAAGAATTAATTGCAGGTTTGTGTGAACTTATTTATAGATAATGTACATTTATACTCTGAAATTTTTATATACGTAATTAGATAGATTGTAAATTCTCAGCTTACTCAGTATTTAATTAGGCAGCGGGAAATGGATCTGCACTATTTCCATTTATAAAGGGTAACAAAAATAAATTCGTATTAAATTTTATACAATACAAATCCAAATTAAATGAATTTCGAAAACTGTAAAAAATGAACGAAATATCAAATTTGTTATAAAAATTTGATTGGGATATTAGAAACTTGACGGCTATAACTTTCGCAAATATAATATAAGCAAAATTTTAAGAAATTTATACAAACAAAAATTTATAAATTTCCTGGACTTCCTCTAAATTAAGAAAGTTGTACAATAATTATTTCTCTTTTTATTATATAAATTCTCTTAAGTCATTCTATAATAACTTTAACACAAGAATTAGTTACTTACAGTTTATACCTAAATATAGTATATATGTGTATGTATGTAGATAATGTTAATGAAGGTGTTATGATCAAAATAAAGAAATATATATATAATACCATATGAATTATATATATTAATCACACATTATATATTACAAAAAATATATAATGCATTTACATTTCTAAAAAAATTAATATTAATTTTTCCTAAAATTCATGGTTTCAATTATTGCAAAAATAAAAAATCTAGAACCAATTTAAATTTATAAGAATTTATTGTAATATGAATATAAATTTAGTTTTATTGAATTGTTATAGCCATTACAGTTCAATAGAATTTGACTAGAAAATTCAATTTTATTAACATTTTCGACTAATATCGTGGTGAGCTAATTTTTTAACCAGTTTGGTGGTTTTAGTATCGAACATCATGCTTAAAATCTATAACCTAATATAGATCTTAATTACTATGTAAATACATGGTAATTAGGATCTCAGGGTAACCCAATGAAAGGTACCTATATTCACCTGAAGCATTCATTCTGTATATAATAGTCAACGACACTTACGTAACTTTTCAATGGTTTAGGTCAGTACGGGCACTCGTATAGTTACCTGAGCAATCAGCAGAACGTACCACTTCCTGGCCAACTACAGCCAACGTCGCAGATTCAACCTAATTTACCAGGTCAAAGTGCTCAGCTTCACGTGACGCATCATACTCCACCTGGAGGAGTTCAAACGGTCCATCAAACTCAAGTTCCTGGTTTCGGGCAATCAGCGACAGGTGGCCAGCAGGTGCAAAATGTTGCGAGGGAATACGTTGTTCAGGGACCATCTGGATTGCCGAGTCAGCAATTGCATCAAGGACTTCATCAGAATCCTCAGAACCAGGTAATCTTTGATTTCCTCCAGCAACTCTGTGAATAGCCTTTCAACTGGCGCTTTGCTTTAATTTCAAACGACTTTAAATTACTTTACCAAGGTGACGGTTCTGTCCATGAATATGGAGGAATATTAAATAAAAGCAGTCGCGAAGATTGAGTAAAAATAAAATATTTCTAGTTAGTGATTGCAGAGTGACGTGAAATTTGGTTTTGATGCTCATTTCTGTGGGATGAATTAATTTATATGCATAATTTAATAATATTTCTCTAATATAACAATAATGCACTATTAACTACTAGAAAATATGTCAACATAATATTTTGATAAATAATATAGTAATTATATAATATATAACATATTTATAATGTAACTGTAAATATAATATATATATAACAAATTTGGCAACAATGTAATATATAATATATAATATTTCATATAATTTAATAGTAACAATAATACCCTAGTGCATGGATGATATAATAATAGTACAATACATAATGTAGTAATATTTTTAAATATATCCGTAAAATGTTAGAAATCGTTATAAATTTGATGACAAGAGTACAAAAATACGTTGAGATCGTGATTTTACAGCGATGAATATTCGAATGAGCATACTACGTTTTGTTAGCGAAGTAACCGGTTTGTATACGGCGCCATCTGTGAGGAAACTAAGAGACATTTTATTTTCCGATAACTTTTCATTTCAATGCCAACGATGTATGCAATTGTTACAATTTCGATCGAGCTATTTTCTATCTTTTGTATTTTCATTAACTTTTACTCATTTCATACCTCCCTCCTCAAATTTAACGTGCTTTTTAATAAAGGCGCATACTCATTACATCGAAATGGCGAACGAGAGTTATCTCGACATGCAATAAACGATCCCATAGAAAATAAAAATACGAAGAAATTTCTAGTTCCATTTTAATTAAAAAAATTGGAATATGAGAAGGTTTATTGAAAAAATTATTTTTATTATTATTACTCTAGCATTTGAAACATTTTCTTAAATTCTATTTTTCCAAATTGAATTACTTTAGAATTCGATATTTAAAAAATAATGCTATCACCGAATTTGTTGCTTCAGATAACTTAAAAATATAAAAAATAAAAAATATTAGACGTTATTCAAAAAATATAAAACAATTCCAAACTTTTGTGAAAAAAAGACACTTTAAAAATTTTTTCTATTTTGTATAAATAAATTCTTCATTTTATACCAATAAACTTGTATTTCAAATATTTTTTTATTTTATAAAAATATGAAAAATAAAAAAATATTAGACGTTATTCAAAAAATATGGAACAATTCCAAATTTTTATGAAAAAAAGACACTTTAAATCTTTTTTCTATTTTGTATAAATAAATTCTTCATTTTATACCAATAAACTTGTAATTCAAATATTTTTTTATTTTAGAAAATAATGCTATTGCTGAATTTGTTGCTTAAGTTGCTTCAACTTAAAAATATGAAAAATAAAAAGTATAAGACGTTATTCAAAAAACATAAAACAATTCCAAACTTTCATGAAAAGAGACACTTTAAAATTTGTTTCTATTTTGCATAAATAAATTCTTCATTTTATACCAATAAACTTGTAATTCAAATATTTTTTTATTTTATAATAACAAACTCATAAATTCCCGAATCTCGATGTATATCGAGCTGCATAAATAGATAAAAAATTAACAAAAACTATTTTAAAAAATACCTCTGTCAGAAAAATCCTTTTGCGAATGCTAAATCTCGAATAATACGATTTTCAGTAACATAGAGGTGGCAGACCGTGCGACAGAAGGTACTTGCTCAGTCACAGTAGTTACAGTAGTTACAGTAGTGCGCGTTTCTCAGACAATAACCAACCTAACCTTGTCGACTTATTTCCCAGTCACTATCGATCGTGTATCCACTTTTCAAATATTCAATGAACACACTTTCTCGCGATACACGCCATCCACTTGTTCTCAGAAGCACTTTTGGATCGTCCGGTTTCGTTCCCCGAGGTACATTTGTAGTCAGAAAATTGCTGTTACGGCGGAGAAAATGATCGAAATGTTTCCGATACACGTGCAGCGAAATCGTTGACGGGTACTTCCGGCGTGAAGAGCGGAAAGGTTATTTTTACGTAAGGAAAGGTAACCTTTTCCCTCATATAAATTCAGAGGGGGCCATAACGCGACACATACATCCTATTCGGATAGCTCGTGCACGTGATACGTGTTCCATATTTATGCCATCTGGTGCCGACCACACGCAACGCGATGCACCGTGCGTACACCGTCGAAATTTATTGGCATACCGACGCAACGTGTCGTCTCACGGAGCGACTTCGAACGGAACGCCTCCTGGTGGATTTTCGTCACTTTTTCTTCTTTACCTCCCGTCACTGGTCCGTTCGGTATATGATAGCATAACGGTGGGTTATTAGGGGCAATTAATTAGTGTAATTGCGGAAAAATCGGCGTATCGCTGCGAGTGGCGTTTCCAATTAATATGCACGGTAATTAATGGGAATGCAAATTGCTCGCGGAGGCAGTGAATGGCGAAAAATGTGAACACGCTCGCGTCTTGCGTGCTTCCGTGCTCGAGACACAAGTGAACCGAGGACTAAATTACCGATGCAGGTGGTTGCAGCTTGCCGGTGTATACGTGGTCGTATTTCCAGAGTGCGGTTATACGTCATTACGGGAATTGCTTCGGTATGGTTATTTATTTTTCTGCTACTGTGATTAGGCATCAGCGGTTTAATGCTCATAGTAACTCTGTTAGAGGTGTTGTAATCGGATGCTATGAAAATTCTTCTGCTATAATTATTACTTCTTTAGATTCGAAAAAATGTGGGACACCTTAGCAGACATATTTAGACCTCTTCGAACCTTTTGCTGAAAACTTACTTTTAAATTTATGACATAAATAGAAAATCATGATAATGTTAGGAAAACAATTTTATTTGAGTTTCTATTAAAAATTTTATTTAAAAATTTTCGGACACTTTCTCTTTCTAAATGAAGTGTATTTTTAAAGGATGAGAATGTACTATTATTTTACGGTATATTACAAATATTAACCCTTTGCACTCGAGAGGTGAGCTTCAGTCACCATTTCATAAAATTTGGAAGATCGATGTTAATTAATATATCAAATTTAATGCAATTGTATTCTACAATTCTGTTATTATATAATTCTTTATTTACAGCTCAAAAGAGTATCGTCAGTTTCTTAGTAGAGAATCTTTGAATTTCTACTCTTCTCTAGCCAAAAAATCGTCGAGTGCTAATTACTCGCCAGTTATATCTGAGATTGCTAAAAGGACAAAGAATTTTTCTGCTAGACACGCCATCCATTTGCAATGGATGAGAATCCTCGTCGAAGTTTAATGTGGAAACTGCATCGACTAACGCAAACGTTTTTCCAAACCAGGGCCAGGGCACGCCGATGCAGAAGCCCCACGGTCTACCCATGCAGCCCCACCAGGTATCCAACACGATGCAGCCGTCGAATCAAAACTTCCAAAGTCCGCAACAACTGCTACACCAGAATCAGAACCACCATCAGAGCCCCAGATTCGCTCAGCAACACGCGCAAAACATGCACCAGCGTCAATTGATCCAGCAGATGCATCAGCAGCAACTGGCCGGGCAGCAGAATAGCCAAACCGGCGTCAGGAACGTGCAGCAGGGCTATTTCTCGAACAACGTGTCTTATCAGCAGTACCAGCAGGCTCGCCAGGCCATGTCAAGGTCTCAGATCGATCTGCCCAGCACTTCCAGACAGACTCAAGAGCTCAGGCTGTCCGGCCAGGAAGTGTACTACCATTATGCTCAAGGTCGACCTAGGTACGGTGTTCCGCAGGTTTATATGAAGACAGAGAGCAACCAGGAAGTGGAGTTCCAGCGACGAAACTCGACGAAGGGTATCGAGAAGGCAGCGTCCCAGCCGCAGCTCTGCTACGAGGACGAGAGGGTGAACGAGCAATCCAGGAATCCTGTGGACGCGATGAAAAGTCTCACGGTGGACCCATTGGACAAGGAAAGGTACGAGATCACCGTGGAGGACCGTGGTCAGGGCGAATTCAGGAGAAGCGATTCTCAAAGGAAGGACGAGTATCGACCAGAGACCAGCTTCGGTATTCGCAGAGACGACGCTGTTAGGTGCTCGAAAAGGGAACAGGAGCAAATGGGTATACCTGGTCAAGAGAATCAGGAGTCTGAGGGGACTTCCGTGCAGAAGAGGATCGAGGAGCTGCAGAAACGGGCCGAGGAGAATCATTATAACCCGAAAGTGTCGAAGGAAGGTCTGGAGACGGACGTGACTAGAAGTTCGCCTGGCACGAAGATTGGCAACGGCGATGGGCCAAAGAGGATGGAGAATCAATACACAAAGGACACCGTTGCGAAATCGGATGCAAGAAAGGACGAGCTGGAACACGGCATCGGCCGATTGAAGATACAGAATCAGGGATCTGGATCGGATTACGACAAAGCTGGTCAGAGTTCCTCCAATGTTGACTCGGGGAGGGGGTCTGCTGTTTATTCCAGCGGAAGACGCCCACCACCGGAAGATCAAACTCACCCTCCAGGTTTGTTATTTCAACTTAAGTTCCTTCGCTGACATAAATATTTCATGACATCTCGAGACGAGAGGTAGCAGCACTTCTGGAAATGTGTCATGCTTTTCATATTTAAGGCTTTGGAGAATCGTGCAACGTGGAAAGAATAGGGTATTTCGGATTTCTTTTCCCTCTTTCTGAGGGGTTCTCTAGTCTTTGGTGAGTCATAGTGGTTATTGATAAATGAACACTGAAATATTACGTAATTTATTTGTATTGTGAACTGGCATTTTGAAGATGTACATTTTTCTTCAATTTTTGTTTTGTACATAACTGGGTTCGAGATATAATTCATACCTGAAGATGTAATAGTCTGTAATATACTATTGGATAAATTAATATGAATTGATTTGTTATTATACTTACATTTATTTCACTATGATTTAATTTTTTTTTTATTTGATTTAAATTAAATATTTGTAGAAAAATAAAATATAATTGGAGAAGCATTTTATTTGGAACAAATTATAGAACGTCTTTCTTTGTATAATGAATTGAATTTTGTATGGGAAGATATGTAGTAATTTTTAAAGGAAGAAGAATAATATACATTAGATTTTCGTTCATGGTTGACGAGTAGTTGGAGGTTATGTACACAATTGAAGTCACTGAATTCAAGGAAATAAACAGAAGCCATGTCATACTTTTGTAGGATAATATCAAAGTTTCCTCGTGAAGAAAACTTTGGAAATAAACTGAAAATCAGTTATTTATCTCACATGCATATCTTACATACATGTATGTAGGATGAAAATGACAATTGAGGTTACTATACTTATTTATAAATTATGTTCCTATTTCATACGAAGCTTTCGTTAATCTTAAAAATTCTATTTCTCTGAAATTAATGTCTTTTTTAGCAGTAAACGGTTTTTAGTATGATACAAATTTTTTAATTATAATAAACGAATGAATATATGTTCAATATATATTACATTATGGAAAACATAATATTATAATATGGAAGTGCACTAAAGAATATTGAAAATACACATGCTGCATCAGGGTAGTCCCTAACCTTTCACATCAAAATCTTGTTTTACTTTCAAAAAGTAATATCTTCTAGTTTTAGTTTTGTAAAATAATACATATAAAATGGCCAAAATCAAAAGTCTATAAAAAAAGAGAATAATGAATTTATAACTTATTTTATGTGGCAATTTGCATTCATTTAAAAAATTTTTAATTAAGTATTTGTATAAATATCTTTTGAGGATTTGGTTAGAGGGCGTGTGTGGCGTAGTGTGAGTTTCTGGGTGTGCAGATTTGAAAAGAAAGTTAAAGCAAAGAAGTGGGTTTTCAGTAATGGGAAAAGGGTAAAAAGGAAGCTTCGACTAACATTGTATAGTTAAATACAAAAACTAATAGGTCAAACGCGATAGTACAGGCGTTAAAGAGAAGAACAGAAAAGTGAGGTTAGGTTTGTACACGTGGATAGATAGGATAATTATAAGTATTGTAAATACAGAAAGAATAAAGCTAACAGATACAAAAGTATCTTCAATTTATAATATAAATATCTTTCAATTTTTTAACGTGCTTAAATAATTTAATCTATCTGTATGCCAAAATTCATGTACCTCAAAATAAAATATATATAATTTTCAGATCATTTTACGTAGCATAAAGTCATCTCGATGAAACATTAAAACTCGTCATAAAGTTTGTAAAATTTAAATCTAAAATACAGTACACAGTTTCATTGTTGTTTTAAACCCTCGTCAAGATTGTTTTATTATCTACCTTGGAGTCCGTTGATAGATAGAAGATCTTTAAAACACTCATTTACGAAAATCGATCCTGGTATAGCTACTATAGTAGCCTGCTTTGAGCTATCTGATCGGGTCGGGGCGAACTGCACGTTTAGACTTCGCTGCTTAAGGAGATAGTAGTGTCATGTAAACTTCTTTAAACGGTTTAAAAATACAGTAGCGTTATCGGAAAGCCTATTATTCTAACGATCTATTATTTCCATGTTTCATTATTCCAGCGTTCTATTATACGGACGCCATATTTTCTTCTTTACCCTAGTATGAAACGGGCATTATACGCATGGATAACTGGAGTATGAGCTATTCACAGGTTACAGTACTACATTTCTTGAATTTTTTGACACTATAATGCCAAATCACTCGATTGACATGTAATTTGTTTATTTGAAAATGAAGAAATTAGTATGAAACTAGTATGAAGCGAGGATTATACGCCTGGATAACCTACTTCAGTTAATTACAGGTTAAAATAATAATCCCACTATTTGAATCTTTCGAAATTTTAATGCCAAAGCACTCGATTGACATATAACATTCTCACTTGGAAATAAACAAATTAGTATGAAACTAAGATATGAAACTAGTATGAAACGAGAATTATACGCCTGGATAACCTACTTGAGTTAATTGCAGGTTAGAATGATTAATCCTACTTTCTGAATTTTTTGAAATTTTGATGCCAAAGCACTTCATTGGCATGTATGTTTATTTGGGAATAAGGAAATTAGTATGAAGCTACAGTATGAAATTAGTATGAAACGGAAATTATATGCTTGTATAACCTACTTGAACTATTCATAGGTTAAAATACTCCTACCTTTCGAATTTTTTAAAATTATAATATAATAATAAATTATAATTAAATATATAATTTTTTTATTTGGAAATAAATTCAAAATTTCGTTATTCTCAATAATCGTATTATTTTACAAATTTAAAGATAAGTTCATTATTCAAAACTTTTTATTAATCAGGATATTTTGTATTTTATTGCATCTTATCTCGTGAGAAAAAGATACAAAAGATTCTGGAAGGAAATTTATCGTACAATGTTTGCAATGTTTATAATACTCAATGAGACAACATCCGTGTAACCGGAAATTCTCAAAGTCGTAAAACTGAATTTAGTGATTGGAGGAAATTGGATCTTGTATACGCTGTATTAAAGATTCTTAATATAATAAACCGACTTCCGTTCATAAGTACAATTTAAATAGTTTTATCACACTGTAATAAACGTTTCACGATTTCTTTTTATAAATTATGGAGGAAGTCACATATCCCTTGGTAATATTATTGATATCAAGGACTGATGTAATTTTAATAGCGGGGAGTATGTTAAAAAGTTATATATACATACATTTCTTATATATTTCTTCCGTTAGCAAATAATTAGTAATTAAGTATAGCAATTTAAAATGCAATCGATGGAATAAAACATGAAACGATATGATTTTATACTATCTTAGAGCATTATTATTATCTTAGAGCACGTTTCAAAATTAAGAACAATTTCCTCTAACAGGTAAAATATATGTATACTATTTCTATTTTAAAGCACGTTTCCAAATTAAGAACAATTTGCTCTGAAGGGTAAAAAATATGTCTACCAAAAATATTTTCAGATAATCAGATTAAGAAATACATCATTTCTAGATATTTACAGTGAAAGCGATACAAAAAGGTATCTCCAAAAAAGAAAATTACATATGTATTTCTTATATGAGTGAGTGGCTTCATTCACTGATTTTTTCATTCAAACCAAGAAAAAAGATCCTATTTCCCTTTCTATCATTCGAGATTCAAGAAATCAAATGAAAAGACAGAAGAAAGAAAGGAAAAGTTTCATACGATTAATACCATACAAGAAATAAATACCTGTCAGTTATTTAAAATCAAAATTAGAAATATAAAAATAAATGTGTAAAAAGTAACAATCAAATTAGTAAAATACAATTAACAATAATTAAGAGAACTTAAAAAGAAATCTTTGAAGTGAAAGTAAATTACATACTCAATATACAAGTAAATACGTACATGTATTACACTAATTCCACTTATTGACCTTTATCAACACTCAACGTTGAAATCACAGGAAGGGAATAACAATAAATAAATTTTTACTTTTTATTTAGACAGTGCAAGACTCGAAAATCGGTGGACATAGTCGAATCAGGATTAAAGCAACCTAAAGCGAAATATTTTACATGGAAATTAGACTAATTATACATATATATGTATTAGATTAATTCCACTTACTGACCTCTATCAACACTCAACGTTGAAACCACAGGAAGGGAATGAAAATAAAATAAGTTTTTGCTTTTTATCTCGACAGTGATAGACTCGGAATAGGTGGACATAGTCAAATCAAAATTAAAACAACCTAAAGAGAAATTTTTTACAAGGAAATTAAACTAATTCCACTTCCTGACCTTTATCAACACTCAGCGTTGAAACCACAGGAAGAGAATAGCAATAAATAAATTTTTACTTTTTATCTGGACAGTGCAAGACTCGGAATGGGTGGACATAGTCGAATCAGAATTAAAACAACCTAAAGAGAAATTTTTGACAAGAAAATTAGACTAATTATACATATATATGTATTAGACTAATTCCACTTACTACTGACCTTTATCAACACTCAACGTTGAAATCACAGGAAGGGAATAAAATGAAATAAGTTTTTACTTTTTATCTCGACAGTGCAAGATTCGAAATGGGTGAACATAATCGAATCAAAGTTATAACAACCTAAAGAGAAATTTTTATCAAGGAAATTTGACTAATTATACATATATATGTATTAGACTAGTTCCACTTACTGACCTTTATCAACACTCAACGTTGAAATCACAGGAAGGGAATAAAATGAAATAAGTTTTTGCTTTTTATCTCGACAGTGCAAGACTCGGAATGGGTGGACATAGTCGAATCGGAACTGAGGAGCATTTTAGAGCCGAGAGATGTCCCAGCGATGGCGCATTCCACTCTATCTGAAAGTGTATCGTCGGTAACGCCTCCCCTGCCGCCGCTTTCACCCCATGAAAGTCCCAGAACACCGAGAAATCGATATTCGGCGAGGTAACGTTACTTCAAACAGATCTCTTCGTCTCGTAGTCGATGTCACTTCCGGTCACTGCCCCAGGCTGCTTCCGATTATTTCTACCCTTCGCGTAGATCGAAGCGCCGATATCGGTGTGCCGGAGCAACCAACCGATCAAACTGTTTAGTATAGACAGGGTGCACTTTCGTTTTTCTTTTTTTTTTTTTCTTCATTTTTTTCTCTTTTTAGGCGCATGGAACGTATTGGGAGAGCAGGATGGAAAAGTCGATTCAATTTATTTTTCGAACCATCTTTGTTTCACTCCCCTTTTTCTGTCGTTCTTTGTCCCATGACGCAAAAGGCTGTCGACGATATCGATAGCGGGATAAATAATGTATCGAGAGACGATATGACGGTAATAATTCGGAGGAATTATTGATTGTAAGAAGAATACGTGTGTTTGTGCGGTGAAGATTGTTGGCCATTTTATTGTTGGCGATTTATTGGTCGATTTATGGATCAAGTATTGAGTTTGGAGGGAAAGTAACTAGAAGATCACGTATGAAGAGGTAGAGAATTGATAAGGTGAAAAAGTATTAGGAAGAATTGTTTAGGAATTATATAAAGGTAATAGGTTGTACAAAGAGGAATAATTGGGAGAAAAATTAAATAAAAAATTGTAAAAATTTTATTAATATAGAAATATTATTTAAACGACAGGAATATTATGAGCTGAAGATTAAGAAAAATTAAATAGGGAATTATCAAATATTTAATAAATATTATAGAGAATAATGAAAGATGTACTAAAAATTATATACAGGGTTATATACTATTTAAAAAATATTAGATAAAGGATTATGGGTTATGTTTAGAAAATTTAATTACAAGTTTATCAATTTTACAAAATTTAATAATTATTTTATGCGATGTATTAAGAGATATTTTGTAAAAGATTATACAAAATTATTTAAAGGGATTATATAAAGGAATATGTTTAGCAAAAGTTATATAACAGATTAGGAAATATTTATTATTGTGATATCACATAAATATACACACATTTTACATATAACAATATAATTTTTCAACTGTGATTACATTTATATACTTAAATAGTGGTCGGTTGGTCTTCATCGTCTCTAATAATGCTGTTACTGTAATGACTAATTCAGAATTTCTACTATATTTACTAATTAATTCTTTACTGTATTAATAATACTGTTATAGAAACTATAATATTACATTAGTTGAGTAATTTCTGCTTTAATTTTGATATTAATATCATTATTTATTTTCCTTTGGACTATTTGATACGCAAAAATTTATAAATTATTCATCTTTCAATTACCATTATAAAAACAAATTATTCTATTTCTTTTTAATCTTTTATACAATTCTAACGATATAGAAATATTTGATACAGCGATTTAATCGATTTCATAAAATGAATATTACATACATATATGTACGTATATTTTACAAGTATACGATATTATGACTTATTGTGATCGTGAGTATTTTACAAAATATAGAAAACACAATTTTTGCACTCCCACTATCTTCGATCTAATCAAGACTACCTATTCGCGTCTTTTCTTTACATTAATTATTTATTGCAGAAATATTGTTAACATTTTAAATATATATTCCACACCATTTCTTTTAAACAAACTTCCTAAGAAAAATGATGAATTTATGAAAAAGTATAGATTATGATCGTTTCGCAAAAGCACGCGACACAGCGTATCAAAAAGTTCAAAACAGACCTATCTGTATACGCAAATAACAAAATCAACCATCGTAATACTAATTCCAAGATTGCTCGTTGCCAAAATTTAGAATATTAATACCAATCTCATAGGTTAAGTAGAATCTTCTAATTTCTCAATTCTCCGGGCAGTAGGGACAGAATTGAATTAATAATACATCGCGCTCTAATTAAAGAGGGACCATTTCATTAGACTTGGTTAGTTACCATCGCGACAGTTAACCATCTTCTTGCGGCTTTCTTGGCAACCTTAACAGTTGCATGTTTGTGGGCCTTTTAGCTTACCATACGGATCGAAACCTAATTACAGCGATTACAGCAAGGCCATGGAGAAGAGAGGGTTCTCCGGCAGTTCGAAGCACCGTGGCGCCTCGACTTCCAAGAAAGAAGCTGCAAAGAAGTTCTCTCATCGTAAGTAGCCTTCGCGCTTCTTCCTTTTTGCACGCCGGTCGTTAGTTACTTGCTCCCCGAGGCTACACGGGTATTGTTTATTTAGTTTTCGGTGTAGAAGCGGCGGACTTAACCTCGACCACCACCGGACTCGATCTAGACTCCATGTTGGACAGAAGTGACTCCGATTTGAGCACGAACGACGCGAGAACCATTAGGAAGCAGCTGGAGGGCTTAGAAAATATGTACAGCGAGGTGAGACACGTTGTAAGCTACAAATCTTTGTGTAAATCTTTGGTGATGGTCTGCGAATGGGTTTCGCTGTTCAGGATGCTACTCGTGCACTAATTGCAAGTTTCGCTTTCTCAGACTCATATTTTTCCTCCATCCTCAATGCGAGGACGTAATTTATCGCGCAGACATTCAACCACATTTTTCATAGCCCCACCATGACTAATATGTTAATGATGATTAATCTATAATTCGAACGCAGAGTTTCGACTATTTCTCTTGTCCTTTTTTTAATTATATGCTTTCACGGATAGAAATGAATACCAATATTATACAGTTAACAAATTAATATATTTACATGATAATACTTAAATATTGACAACAATTCTAAATAAACTATTTTAAGCACAAAGATTGGCTCTATCTTGAAAATTATTTTCTCTCTCTCTCTCTCTCTCTCTCTCATTCTTATTAACACATGTTTACTCATTTACTCTATGTTAATGATGATTGATCTATAATTCGAACACAGAATTTCGACTATTTCTCTTGTCCTTTTTTTAATTATATGCTTTCATCTTCGTTCTGATGTGCATAGAAATGAATACCAATATCATCCAGTTAACAAATTAATATATTTACATGATAATACTTAAATATTGACAACAATTCTAAATAAACTGTTTTAAGTACAAAGGTTGGTTCTATCTTGGAAATTCTTTTCTCCCTCTCTCTTTCTCTCTCTTTCTCTTTCATTCTTATTAACACATGTTTACTCATTTACTCTATGTTAATGATAATTAATATATAATTCGAACGCAAAATTTGGACTATTTTTAACGTTGTTCACTTGTTGTCTTCTTAATTATATGCTTTCATGTTCGTTCTGATGTGGATAGAAGTGAATACCAATATCTTCTACGTTTTCTAACAGTTAACGAATTAATACATTTAGATAGTAATATTTAAATATTGACAAAAATTATAAATTAAAAACTATTTTAAAAACTATTTTAAAGACAAAAATTGACTGTATTTTAAAAATTCTTTTCTCTCTCTCTCTCTCTCTCTCTATCTCTCTCACTCTTATTAACACATATAATGATTCTCATGTAATTGTTTTATTCTGACACATTCTTTTACAACAATTTTTTTAACAACATTCATACTAGAGTCCATTCGTACATATTATATTTATATCATCCCAAATGATTTTCACTTATTCTACCTCATTCCCATTCATATAAACATATAAAATCAACATTCACATCTGATTCTTTGTAAATAGGAGGATTACGTAGAGTTAAAAAATACTTCGCAAAATTAAGAATATCTTTCCACCGTGTTAAATAATAAAATATAACGTAAATATGGTCATTCTGTGCGAGATTGTTATATTGCTAAAAAAGAAATGAAATTGGCATGATAGGAAAAGTAGATTATGATAATCTACAGTAGTCTTGAATTTTCTGAAAAAAAAATTGTGTTAGATTCTACATAACTTTATTACGTTATGTTTATGGGACGAGTTTTATGGTAAATACTATATTCTAGTTACATATAAATCTACATCTATTGACGTATGATTTGATATCTTTATCTACAAAATTTTATAAAATTGATTCGATGGAAGTTTAATAACATAAATGTTTGCAAATTTGTAATTTTGTCATTTTTGCCGCGAAATAGCACCCATGTATATAATTTATACTCGGAAATATCATACATAATAAGTGAATATTTGTTCAAAAAATTGTTAAAAATACGTATTTTCAGTTCTTTTAACAGTGAAACACGATAGAGCAATTTGTTGGTAGAAACATTATAAATCTGATAACTATATATTACAAAGTAATCAGTATGACGTTGAGATAATATAGTTACAGTGTTATTATTATTATATTTACTCTATATTCTCTATTTCATTGATGTGAATTATTTAATAACAACATAAACTTAAAGAACATGACAGGTCTCCTGGAACTCTAACTTGGTTTTCCTATTTTAAACGTAAAAGATATTGTTTATTAATTTATTTAAGGATTAATATTTACAGATTTATTATTCAGTTATTCTTTTAATTCATTGATCTATGCGTAATGGAAAAATAATATACAATTAAACATTTGTCTTCATTAAAATACGAATCTTAAACGTCTCAGTTTGCATGCAAAAATTAACTATGCAATTTACGAAATAAGTATAACCTATTGCATTAACCATATTTGCATATCAAATATAAACAAGGGAGATCGTCCTTGTACATAAATAAATAGGTTATTAGAGTAATATAAATATTAAATTATAAATTTATTCATACAATCTAGTTAAAATGTATACAACTTACAAAAGATATATTTATTTTTATATACATATGTAGTATTGATGTTTATTTGTATAATAAAGGTAATATTTAAATAAATAATTTATATAAATAATAATTAAACAAGGGTTCTCAATTTTTTGACAGAACAATATCAGTATACTCTACAAGTAAAAATGAAAAATGAAAAATGTCATGTGAAAACCATATAAATATTTGATTAAAAAATTGGAAAAAGATAACAGTAGATAAATTAGCAACATTCTAGTTCTATTATAATTCTATTTTAAAGCTTATTATAAATAAAAAATTATCAAGGAATGGAATTAATATAAAAGAATGAAAACGATAAAATAAACTAAAAATGGAAATAAAATTCATTTCTCAAATTTCCATTCACAATATAACAAAGTTCATTTGTCGTATCTTCATCGAACAAGAATTTTGGTCTACTGCTGATAGAATCAGTCTCAAAAATTAGTCTAACTCGTTAATTGAAGGGGATTTAACATAAAGGCTGACTCAATCTGTATAAGTAGTATACGTAACCAGTATGCATAAATTTGTGGTTTCAATGGACAGTATCTTACCAGTGATTCGAGCCTTCTTTTCCCTGCACGTTATCTTTCATTATTCTAAAATTTCATAACAATGGAACATTTGTTACTCAACGTCTCATTATCCACGTGAATTCAATCCGTCGTAACAACAGTTCCAGAGATATTTTCTCACGTGTAACTGTATACGTATTATCTTCCACTAGTATCTGGGACATTCTAAAATATTATCAAGAATAATTAAGACTGATGTTATGAAAAACTTGATATCTATTTGTATGGTAAGAGTACGTATGAGAATACGTAGAGTGACGAAGGCATTCGAATTTTTGCATCTGTAGCTTCTAATAGGTGAAACGCGTATATTAAGTGGAAGCGTTTCAAACAGCATGATACCCATAACATGGGAGAAATCGCAAGATTATATCGACAAAATTACAAAATAATTCAAGTAAAAATGAACTCTAAGCATACTTAGAGATATATTCGAAAATAAAATATAACGTAAATATGGTCATTCTGTGCGAGATTGTTATATTGCTAAAAAAGAAATGAAATTGGCATGGACAACACGCGATTACGTTATAGGAAAAGTAAATTATAATAATCTACAGTAGTCTTGAATCTTCTGAAAAAAAAATTGTGTAACATTCTACATAACTTTATTACGTTATGTTTATGGGACGAGTTTTATGGTAAATACTATATTCTAGTTATATATAAATCTACATCTATTGACGTATGATTTGATATCTTTATCTACAAAATTTTATAAAATTGATTCGATGGAAGTTTAATAACATAAATGTTTGCAAATTTGTAATTTTGTCATTTTTGCCGCGAAATAGCACCCATGTATATAATTTATACTCGGAAATATCATACATAATAAGTGAATATTTGTTCAAAAAATTGTTAAAAATACGTATTTTCAGTTCTTTTAACAGTGAAACACGATAGAGCAATTTGTTGGTAGAAACATTATAAATCTGATAACTATATATTACAAAGTAATCAGTATGACGTTGAGATAATATAGTTACAGTGTTATTATTATTATATTTACTCTATATTCTCTATTT